TAGATGGAAGGTCCGACAGACGTGGAGCTTGGGCCGCTCTGACCAGGAGAGGTGGGAGGGACGGGGATTTGGCTCAAACAAGTGTGTTACTGCGGAAATTGAGAGAAGACTGGAGTTGAGGCCAGAAAGGGGGTGAGGAGGCAGGAAAGGAGGAGAAAGTCAGTCAGGCTTGGGAGAAAGATGAATGACAGGAAAGATGGGCCACGGTGGGGGCCAATGGATCAGGGACCAGAATGGGGAAAGGGAGGAGTGACACTGGCATGCATTGTGGGGTGCATTTCTAACACGTGCATCTCTCAGGAGATGGAGAGCACCCCCTCGAGGGGTGGACTGAACCGAGCACACCTACAGTGCAGGAATCTACAGGAGTTCCTGGGGGGCCTGAGCCCTGGGGTATTGGACCGACTGTATGGGCATCCTGCCACCTGTCTGGCTGTCTTCAGGTGAGGATACACTTCATGACAGGGACTATGATGGGGCAATGTAATGGGGCCTGCAGACTGGGGTAAGGTATCATGGATAGAAGCTTAGTTCCAAGGGGCTTGGAGATTAAAGAGTGTCGGGCCAAAACAGATGGTATTTGTGGGGACAGCAAGACTGGTAAAGTTGTGGGGGTGAGAGGCTGTTTGAGAGGCTGAGGGCAGAGATGCAGGTTGAGGGCAGAGATGCAGATGTAAGGCAGTTGCTGATACTAACATTTTATCTCTGCCCCCTTCAGGGAACTCCCGTCTCTGGCTAAGAACTGGGTGATGCGGATGCTCTTTCTGGAGCAGCCGTTGCCACAAGCTGCTGTGGCCTTATGGGTGAAGAAGGAGTTCAGCAAGTGAGTCTGCTGCATTCTCAGCCAGACACAAATGTCTCAACAGCTAGATTTCCCAAACTGCTGATCCTTGGAACATTTTCAGGAAATATTAATGGGTACAGCATAAAACTTGTAATTAAGTAAGTCTGGGAAACTCTGCATCCTGTATTTTCCCTCTTGGAGAGTAATGATGTCTATAACAAGCCTCTGGTAAGTGCTGCAGTAAAGACATTTTCCTTAAGAAGACACTGGTTTCACTCTGTGAAACAGCGATCCAAGGATCACCAGTTCAGAAAAGGCAGAAATGGAGGCCTTTATGGGCCTCCTCCTTTTTGTTTTCCAGACCCCATCACCTCTCTGCTTCTGTTTCAGAGCTCAGGAGGAGAGCACAGGGCTGCTGAGTGGCCTCCGGATCTGGCACACACAGCTGCTCCCTGGTGGTCTTCAGGGCCTGATCCTCAACCCCATCTTCCGCCAGAACCTCCGCATAGCCCTTCTGGGTGGGTATGTCACTTCCACCTCTTCCTAAGCTAGGCCAGGGGGTCTAAAATTCTGGAGGCAGAGCTCCTGAGAGGCTTCTCTGGAACCTTGTGGGCTCCACCTTCGAGTATTCCTTTAGGAATCCGTTGGACCAGATGTAGCTGCTCGATGTAGGAAATGCCTCCCATTCATGGTTCATGGGGACAAGGGTGGAGAGAGGACAAAGGGTGGGTAGGGAACAGAGGCAGGGCTCCTTACTCTTGGCCCATCCTGGCATAGGGGCAAGGCCTGGTCGGATGACACAAGTCAACTAGGACCAGACAAACATGCCCGGGATGTCCCCTCACTTGATAAGTACGCCGAGGAGCGATGGGAGGTAAGGATTTGGGACTTGGGACTCTGCATGTGTTTCGGCTTGTGTTCCTGCTTCCCGTGGACCCTGAGGAATCTCTGTTCTGCATTCCTTAGGTGGTCCTGCACTTCATGGTGGGCTCCCCCAGTGCAGCTGTCAGCCAGGACTTGGCTCAGCTCCTCAGCCAGGCTGGGCTCATGAAGAGGTGAGAAGGCCAGAAGCACAACAGTGCCCTGCTTCGCTGTGTCCTTGGGGCCCTGCTGCACTGAGTGTCTGGGAGGGTCAGGAGTGGAGGGGCTTGACTGAAAAGGAGAGTTGAGTGGAGTACGGCCAGAGATAAACCTGAAGATGTGAGAGGACCGTGGGGATTGTGGCCTTTCTCTGACAATGGGAGCACTGTCCCTTTCTCCATCCCCAGCGCTGAGCCCGGAGAGCCACCCTGCATCACCTCTGCTGGCTTCCAGTTCCTGCTGCTGGACACTCCGGCCCAGCTCTGGTACTTTATGCTGCAGTACCTGCAGACAGCCCAGGTGAGGGGCCAGGGGCTGCTCGCCTGCACCCTCGGCTCTTCTCAGGGCCCACTCGGAGACTGCTACCTACAGACTCTGCTCCCTGACCTCTCTCCTCTCACTTTTCCCTCCCACCCTTCCCTGTCTCTGCCCATCCCTCCTTAGAGTCGGGGCATGGACCTAGTGGAGATCCTCTCCTTCCTCTTCCAGCTCAGTTTCTCTACTCTGGGCAAGGTAAGCAGGGGCTAGAGCTGGGGACTTCGGTGGGCGAGCTGAAGAAGGTGAGATGGGAAGGGGAAGTGAGGCTGTGGGGCAGTAGAGTGAGAGATGAGAATGAACAGAGCACGGCCAGAGATGGGAAGAGCGAGCGAGTGGATGGGGTTGGGAAGTGGAGAATGGGATGTGTTTCTGACCCCAGCTGGCTATCTCCCTTCCCCAGGATTACTCTGTGGAAGGTATGAGTGATTCTCTGTTGAACTTCCTGCAACATCTGCGTGAGTTTGGGCTTGTCTTCCAGAGGAAGGTATGAGCACCCAAATACATGGCTTCTGGGAAGAGGTGGGTGGGATGTTGCCTTGGCCTTTAGAAAGGAGTAGGGTTTCGGGAGGCAGCAGGAAGCAGTTGCCAGGACTGAATACTTGGGTCCCTTGGGGAGAGGAGCTGGGAGTTGGGGCTCTGCACAGGGAGTGATCTAGTGTCTCGGGAAGGAAGATGTAGTAGGGTAGCAACACCTGCGAGAGGGCCCTTTGCTTTCCCTTCTGTCCCTTCCAGAGGAAGTCTCGGCGTTACTACCCCACACGCCTGGCCATCAATCTGTCGTCAGGTGTTTCTGGGGCTGGAGGCACTGCACACCAGCCAGGCTTCATTGTTGTGGAAACCAATTACCGACTGTATGCCTACACGGGTGAGACAGCAGAGGGCCCTTGGGAGAGCAGAGCATGCTGGGGCGGGAGTTGGGAGGGAAAGGAAGCTAGAAGGAATGCCAATTTGTTTTTTTACCGGTTTACCTGAAAGTTTACAGGGTTTTCTGACACTTCCCATCACACATGAGGGCAGGGCTGCAGGAGTCTGGGTATGGGGCAGCCTCCTCATCCTCTCTTCCTGTCCCTGTGCCAGAGTCCGAGCTGCAGATCGCTCTCATTGCCCTCTTCTCTGAGATGCTCTATCGCTTCCCCAACATGGTGGTGGCGCAGGTCACCAGGGAGAGCGTGCAGCAGGCCATCGCCAGCGGCATTACAGCCCAGCAGGTAGCCCCACTTGGGGGGGTGGCGGGAAGACAGGCTGCACTTGGGGTATGGGATACAGGTGGTCCTCTCACGGAAGGCTGGCACCAGGTCTGTCACAGTAGGTGGTGTAGTTGTGTGTCTGAGCACAGAGCAGGCCCATGAGAAGTCAAGGCTCCAGGTGTGGGGAAGACCTGGAGGGACGAGGGATAGCTCTGGACCTGTGTCTTGGCACCACCACGTCCCAGCTGAATAAACAGGCAGTTGCTTTGTTTCCGAGCCTCAGTTTCCTTATCTGGAAAATGGAAGTGGTGAGATTTCACCTTACCGGGTTGCTGGGAAGACTCAGTGAGTGAGTAGCAGTAACATGTTGAGTTCAGAACCTGCCACAGTAAGTGCTGATATTTTAAAGAGAAACAAAACAAGACTGCGCAAAGGGCAGACATGCCAGAGAAGGAATGGCAGACACGACCTGTGGGAACAGCAACTCGGGACAATAGCTGGACAGGGAATGGGCTGAAGACAGGCACTGGCTGTGACAGGTGATGGCCTAGGTAGCTTTGCTGCCCTCTTATTCCAGCTTCTGGTCCCATTCTTCTATGTTTTTAGATCATCCATTTCCTGAGGACAAGGGCCCACCCAGTGATGCTTAAACAGGTACCAAGCTGCTGGAGGCTGATGGTGAAGTGCTGGGAAATCCGGGGCATGGGTGGAGGGCTGGTGGTCTGGGGCAGCATTCCTGAGCCTTACAGCCAGGCTTGCCCTGCAGACGCCGGTGCTGCCACCCACCATCACAGACCAGATTCGGCTGTGGGAGCTGGAAAGGGACCGACTCCGCTTCACTGAGGGTGAGTGCATTCTTGATCATTGGCCAGAGGAAGGACAATTCCAGTCTTGAGCTGAAAAAGCAATTGATGCATTTTATTTTTGTCTTGCTGACAAGACACTTATTTTGAGGTGAGTCTCAAATCAATGCAATTTAGATTAAGTTAGAAGAGAGAAATTGGGAGGGGTAACCCACAGTAACCTCTCTGGTTTTAGTGAACACTACTGGGCTTTCTCATTGTTTCTATTGCCCCCCTGAATTGGTGGGATGAGCCGTGGCAGGGACGGAGAGGGTTCGATTTAAATTGCGGTGGGTGGCCGGTGGTGGGAGGGGGCTCACAGACTGCCTCTTCTCCCCCGCCGCCCGTCCCCGGGCCCCAGGCGTCCTGTACAACCAGTTCCTGTCGCAAGTGGACTTCGAGCTGCTGCTGGCCCACGCGCGGGAGCTGGGCGTGCTGGTGTTCGAGAACGCGGCCAAGCGGCTCATGGTGGTGACACCCGCCGGGCACGGCGACGTCAAGCGCTTCTGGAAGCGGCAGAAGCACAGCTCCTGAGCCTGTGCACTGGACCCGGCGGGCGCGGTCCCGGATCTCGGGGGCTTTTATTTACACGTGGGGACTCTGCTCGTTTAATAAAGTCGTGAAAGTGAGCCACGTGGCCCCGGGCACCGCCCTCTCCGCGCCCCGCGTGCGCGGCCATTGGCTCGGGAGGGGTGGGGTGGGGCCGAGCAGCCACCGCGCATGCGTCCTCGGAGCCTTACCTCCTGCGCCGCGCAGTCGCGGGTCCGGTTCCGGGGTCGGGGTCCCGCCGTCGCTGCGGGGCGCCCTGGGATCGCGGCGGGCTCGCCGGTCAGCGGCCGGGGCGGCCTCCGGGGGCGGGGCGCGCGGCGGCCTCCTTGCTGGCTCTCGGGCGCGCAGATGTCGGTCATTTCCCCGAGTCCCGGAGTCTGCCTTCCCGCGGGTCAGCGGTCACCCCCACGTCGCACATGCACAGCTTGGGGGCCAGAAGCCCTGACCGTCCCCACGCCGGCGGGGCTGGGGAGGGCTGCGGGGTGGGTGGGAACGGCGGTCGAGGAGAGGCCGCGAGTCCGTGTGACGCTCCCGCCCCCTGTCCTGTGCTTTGTCTGTCAGGACCTGGTCGTGGCCCCTTCCCCGGCGCTCCTGATGCCTCATTGGCCTCGGGCCTCTTTTCGACAATGGGGGCTGAGGCCCTCGCGGGGCCTCCCCAGGTCCCATCCCCTTTCTACACGGTCGGAACCCTCTGGCTCCCCCGGCACCCGGAGGAACCGGGAAGCCAAACAGAAGCGCCTGCGAGAGAAGCAGGCTGCGCTGGAGGCTGGGTTAGCCTTGAAGAGCAAGGTTGGGTCACACAGCGTGTCCTCGGGGCTCCGAGAAGACTTGGGAGGGGGCTGGAGGCGATGCTGCTGGGTTCCAGATGCCTGAGGCATACTGGGAACTGCATCCCTCTCCTGGCCCCTCGCCCCGCAGCTGTCTGCAGAATCCAGTACGGCCTGGACTCCTAAAGAAATAGTGCTGTATGACATCCCCACGGAGCTTGGTGAAAAGAAAGGTAACTAGGAAATTGAAGGCCTTTCTCTCACAGCGTCTTGCCCATTCGGGCCGCTGAAATGCGGCCTGGGGAGAAGTGCAGAGCTAGTGCAGCTCTGGTCTGCCTCCACAGATGTCTCCCGGCCCCTGCCTCCTGCTTACAGCCCCCGCTATGTTGAGGCGGCCTGGTACCCTTGGTGGGTACGAGAGGGCTTCTTCAAACCGGAGTATCAGGTTCGTACCTGGCAGGGTGGGGTACCAAACAGTCCTTAAGATAAATTGCTTGTGAGGTTGGTGGAGCTCACGCACAGCCACGTTGGAGAGCTTGTCTCCTGCCCCTACTGTCTCCAGAGCATTTCTTGGCGGGTTTTCTTTCCCCTTGTTACTTGCGGGACCCTCCTTTCCTGCGGCCCTTTATGCCTTGGAGACACCAGAGGGAGCTATTCACCCAGGTAACATCCAGTTCTCTCTTGCCCTTTGACTGCTCCTAGACCAGGCTGCCCCAGAGCACAGGGGAGACCTTTTCCATGTGTATCCCACCTCCCAATGTCACCGGCTCCCTGCACATCGGGCACGCACTGACAGTGGCCATCCAGGATGCTTTTGTGCGCTGGTGAGGGGACGGGCTGCCTGAAGTTTTGGAGGGGAAGGAAAGGGGGACGGAATGAGGATGTGCGTGCACACTCAGGGCTGCACAGTGGGTGTTTCTGTTGTAGGCACCGGATGCGTGGGGACCAGGTGCTGTGGGTTCCTGGCTCAGATCATGCAGGAATTGCTACTCAAGTAATTTTTTGCCATTTGCCTTTTTTTGGGTGAAAGAGATCCCCAATCCCCCCCCCCCCCAAGAGACCTGATTCACTGTTTGCCCCCTAATCTCAAAGGCTGTGGTGGAAAAGCAGCTGTGGAAGGAGCGAGGGGTGAGGAGACACCAGCTGAGCAGGGAAGACTTCCTCCGGGAGGTGTGGAAGTGGAAGGAGGCGTGAGTGACGGGCACAGGGAGGTTGGCATCGTGGGTTTGGGACCTTGCTTCCTACCCTCTCCCAGCTCAGGCCGCCCCCACCTTCCCTAGCTTCCACAGACGTGAGCTCTGGAGCCTCTTAGTTTGGGTGTGTGTGCCTGTGTGTGGTATAGTAAGATGTGCTTGTTGACGTATGTGCATATGTACACGCACACACTTCTCCCCTCTGCGACTTCCCATTTTCCCTGGCCGGAATTCATCATCTCTCCTGCTCATCTGCCTGACATCGCCCTCCTCTTTCCAGGGCTGTTACCACATGCCACCTTCTCTGTAGAGCTGCTTTAGGGTTCTCACACGTCGGCTGCCCCTTCTGTTACTCTAGGGCATGATGCTTTTATTAATGTCATAGAGGGCTCCGTAATGTTTGAGCCTGTCTCCATGAGCTTCCAGAGGCTAGGTCAGTGCCATACTGACCAGCCCCCAGCATTGCTGGGTGTCACCGGGCTTGGTCGCTGGTGCTCAGGACGTGTTTGCTGACAAACCTCTCTGGGCACAGGAAAGGTGGAGAGATCTGTGAGCAGCTCCGAGCTCTGGGGGCCTCCCTGGACTGGGACCGAGAGTGCTTTACTATGGATACTGTGAGTGTGCTGACCTGGTCCCTGTGGGTGTTGGGAGGTGTTCAGAGACCTGCAGGGAGGCGGGTTGCATTGTGCTGGGGTCGCTGGGCGTGCCGGGCCCGCAACGGGGTGGCGGGTTGAGAAGGGCTGTTGGATGTGGACACGCAGGTTCTCCTAGGGCTCCTCAGTGGCTGTGACCGAAGCTTTCGTGCGACTCCACGAGGCCGGGTTACTGTACCGCAGCCGGCAGCTTGTCAACTGGTCATGCGCTTTGAGATCAGCCATCTCAGATATCGAGGTGAGGCTGAGGAAGAGAAGTAGGTTTGGGAGAGTGCTGAGGCGGGCGAAAGCCCAGAGTCTGGAACCAGGCTGCCCCACTCTGTCCAAGTCTCGCCACCCGCAGCTCTGTGACTTCTGGCCTCTGTGAAGCGTCCGTTTCCTAATCCGCACGAGAGCGGATGGGAATGCCTGCATCTGGGTGTTGTGAGCATGGAGTGAGCACTCACGGAAGGTGCTCAGCACCGCAGTCCGTGTGCGGTTTCGGTGTTCGGCAGATGTTTTCTGCAGGGGTCCTGCGCGAGAGTTCAGGGAGGGCAGCAGCAGGCGGCTCCCAGCTCCTCTGAATGGCATTTCAGTGGATGGGCTGCGGGGAGGCAGGGCGGGCAGAAGAGTGGGGTGGACGCCTGGGGCAAGCCTTGCAGAGGGGCTGCCCTCAGGCCCTGCCTCTTCCATGCCCCCAGGTGGAGAGCCGGTCGCTGTCTGGCCCCACAGAGCTTCGCCTGCCTGGCTGCCCCACCCCTGTGTCTTTCGGCCTCCTCGTTTCTGTGGCCTTTCCTGTGGATGGAGAGCCTGGTAAGGGCAGGGCCACCCACTCTTCTCTGCTTCCCCTGTTTCCTAAGCCCATGGCGGTCGATAAGAGGGAACCCACCAGCCTCTGTTACACATGGCCTGGCAGGAGGGGGACTCTGGCAGTGTTTGCATTCTTGTGGGCACGTCCCTGGCTACTCTGGGCCACGTAGACCATTGCACATGGCGACCGCCTTCTGGGAGCTCAGTATAATTCTGCAGGAGGCTGCTGCCCCAGAGAGCTGAAAGGTCAGTTCCGAAGTGTGGTTTGAACAGTAAGTGCTCTGAAGAGTTCAGAGAAGGGGAAGACAGATGAGCTGGAGTAGTCAGAGGCTGTTTCTGATGGGAGGGGCTGGTGCTGGACCCCAACAGTGCACAGCATTGGTGATCAGGGCACCAGTGAGGATTCTGGTTGCTCCTGTTAGCGCCATCCCAGCTTCTTCCATGCACGCTGGCAAGGGTTTCTTAGCCCCAGACACTGTGCTGGGCTCCTAGAGACACTGGTCCTAACTTCCCTAGTTATTTCAACCTCGACTGCTCCTGTCCCTCCCTTTTCCAGTTCTCTTGGCTTTAGCTGTGTCCGGTGAGGGGTGAGAATGATCACTAGCTACACATGCTTGAATTTTGTCCTCAGACGCTGAGGTCACGGTAGGGACCACAAGGCCAGAGACATTGCCTGGAGACGTGGCAGTGGCCGTTCATCCCGAGGACACCCGATACACAGTAATGCCCAGGGCTCCCTGCCTGGCCTTCCTGCCACAGCTTCTCTTCCTCCTCTCCGGGTGGTGGCTCCTTGTCTCCTGCTTCCACTTCCTTGTGCTCCGACTCCTCCTGTCTCTTCTTGATATCGCACCCCCATAGCGGGGGCTGACCAGCGCCCTGTCCCGGCGCCTTGCTGGCATCACCGCCGCCGCAGGGGCAGGAGGGGAATCGGGTGGAGGCTGCGGCCACCTCTCGGCCAGCAAAGCTTGAAGTATTCGCACCCCAGCCCTTAAGAAACGTTGGCTGGCCCTGTCCAGCGCTTTGCTTTGGTTCTCACCCTCTTGTTCTCAGGGCTCCACCGCCCTGCCCAGACCTTTCTGCTCACGTGCCCGTCCCAACCCCTCTTCATTCAGCATCTTCACGGGCGACACCTTCGTCATCCCCTGACAGGGCAGCTTCTCCCCCTCATCACAGACACTGCTGTCCAGCCGCACGTGGGCACTGGTGAGTGGAGGTCAGGGGTGCTGCGGGAGGGGCAGGAGGGGAGGAAGGTCGGGGAGCCTCCTCTGGAGCAGTCTGATTGGGCGGGGGAGCAGAAGGGAGGTGCGGGCACTGAAGATGCCTCTGGAAAAGCAGAAGCCAGGCCAGGGCCCAGGCTCACAGCGGCTCTGCCCCCCCAGGGGCAGTGAAGGTGACCCCAGCTCACAGCCCTGCTGACGCTGAGCTGGGGGCCCGACATGGCTTGAGCCCCCTGAGTGTCATCGCCGAGGATGGGACCATGACCTCCGACTGTGGAGACTGGCTGCAGGTGGTACCAGCCCCAGTGTTACACCATGCTTTGGGGGCTCCCTCTGCCCCTCCTCCCCTCTTTTATTTTTCTGGAGGCCTTGAGCCTTTACTGTTGCCCCTTTCCCAGGGTCTCCACCGCTTTGTGGCCCGGGAAAAGATTGTGTCTGCACTGAGGGAGCGGGGCCTGTTCCGGGGCCTCCAGAGCCACCCCATGGTGCTGCCCATTTGCAGGTGACCCATTCTAAGTCTTCCCCTTGCACTGCCTGCAGGGACACGGGCGGGTTCCGCAGCCCTCACGCTGGCACTGCCGTGGGTTCTCCTGGCACCCAGGGGCCGGTCCCTGGGAGAGGCACAGGGCTGGAGGGACGGGGGCTCAGCCGTCTGTCTCCCTTTCAGCCGTTCCGGGGACGTGGTGGAGTATCTGCTGAAGAGCCAGTGGTTCGTCCGCTGCCGGGAGATGGGGGCCCGAGCTGCTCAGGTGAGGAAGGACTGGCCCCGGGGGCGGGATGAAGAAACCGGGCAGCTGGGCTGGCTCGTGCCCTCACTCGAGCCCAGGATCTCCTCAGGAGGCCTGGGCCCTCTCTGAGCTTGAGGACGGAGGTGTGGCTGCGGGATGGAGGTGTGGCTGCGGGACGGAGGTGTGGCTGCGGGAGGGAGGTGTGGCTGCAGGATGGGAGCACTGACGCCCGGTGGTCTCCCTGCAGGCGGTGCAATCCGGGGCCCTGGAGCTCAGCCCGTCTTTCCATCAGAAGAACTGGCAGTTCTGGTTCTCCCGAGTGGGGTGAGAGGAGCTCTCGGGGGGCTGGGCCGGGAGGGACCGCCCCTTGTGCTGAGAAGCACTCTGTCTGTGGCAGGGACTGGTGTGTCTCCCGGCAGCTGTGGTGGGGCCATCGGATTCCAGCCTACCTGGTTGTAGGGGAGCCTGGGAAGGTTGGTAGGAGGAAGTGCAGAGGGCGGGGGCTTTGTACCGGGCCCAGGCCGGCTTGCCAGCTCAGCTCCCTGCGTTTCCCTGCTTCTGCCTCCGTCATGAAACCTACCCTGTGCTGGCTCCGCGTGGGGTGCCCGCTGCTTCATCTCACCAGCAGCGGGTCCCTGGAGAGAGCTCGCACCTGCCTGGTGCTGCTCTCAGGCCGTGTTCTGCAGGGCGGCAGCGAGGACTGCTGGGTGGTCGGGCGGACGGAGGCTGAGGCCCGAGGAGCAGCTGCAGACCTGACAGGGAGACCCGGGGCCGAGCTGGCCCTGGAGCGTGGTGAGCGCCTGGGTCTTGGAGAGGTGGGGTCGGAAAGCTGGTGGTGGGGGTCCGGCGGGGAGGGTGGGGGTGGCAGCAGCAGGCTGAGGGCCAGGAGCTCAGGTTCCAGTTGTCTTCTTTCTTTTGTCTCCCAGACCCCGATGTCCTGGACACATGGTTCTCCTCAGCTCTCTTCCCCTTCTCTGCCCTGGGCTGGCCCCAGCAGGTGAGGCGCCAGCTGAGAGGGCGAGAGGGACGGTGGGCGGCGAAGGACACACCTGGGCGCGGCGGGCTCAAGGAGGTGGCACATCCTTTCCTCCTAGACCCCGGACCTCACTCGGTTCTACCCCCTGTCACTGCTGGAGACAGGCAGTGACCTCCTGCTGTTCTGGGTGGGCCGCATGGTCATGCTGGGGACCCAGCTCACAGGGCAGCTCCCCTTCAGCAAGGTAACAGCCCCGCAGTGCCCCGTGCCTGTCCAGCTGCAGTCCTCCCAACCTGTCCTCTCCTCTCACCCTACTGTGTGGTCGCCATGTTCCTGATTCCTGCTGCCTGCTTGACCTCCCACCCTGAGCCCTAAACACGGAGGCCAGAGATCCCAGGGGACCTCCCAGGGAAGGGCTCCTCAAGCCACCCCCCGCTGACCCCCCCACCCCCAGGTGCTCCTTCACGCCGACCCCCCCACCCCCAGGTGCTCCTTCACGCCGACCCCCCCACCCCCAGGTGCTCCTTCACGCCGACCCCCCCACCCCCAGGTGCTCCTTCACGCTGACCCCCCCCCCAGGTGCTCCTTCACGCCGACCCCCCCACCCCCAGGTGCTCCCTTCACGCCGACCCCCCCTACCCCCAGGGTGCTCCTTCACCGCTGACCCCCCTACCCCAGGTGCTCCTTCACGCTGACCCCCCCACCCCAGGTGCTCTTCACGCTGACCCCCCCCCACCCCCAGGTGCTCCTTCACGCCGAGCCCCCTACCCCCAGGTGCTCCTTCACGCTGACCCCCCCCCCCAGGTGCTCCTTCACGCTGACCCCCCCCACCCCCAGGTGCTCCTTCACGCTGACCCCCCTACCCCCAGGTGCTCCTTCACGCTGACCCCCCCCCCAGGTGCTCCTTCACGCCGAGCCCCCTACCCCCAGGTGCTCCTTCACGCTGACCCCCCACCCCCGGTGCTCCTTCACTCTTACCCCCCCAGTGCTCCTTCACGCTGACACCCCCCCCAGGGTCTCCTTCACGCTGACCCCCCCACCCCCAAGGTGCTCCTTCACGCTGACCCCCCACCCCCAGGTGCTCCTTCACGCTGACCCCCCCAGGTGCTCCTTCACGCTGACCCCCCACCCCCAGGTGCTCCTTCACGCTGACCCCCCTACCCCCAGGTGCTCCTTCACGCTGACCCCCCCCAGGTGCTCCTTCACGCTGACCCTCCACCCCCAGGTGCTCCTTCACGCTGACCCCCCCACCCCCAGGTGCTCCTTCACGCTGACTCCCCCACCCCCAGGTGCTCCTTCACGCCATGGTTCGGGACAAGCAGGGCCGGAAGATGAGCAAGTCCCTGGGGAACGTGCTGGACCCACGAGACATCATCAGAGGGGTGGAGCTCCAGGTCAGGATGGAAGCGGCAGGGCGGGGCTTGTGGGCAAGCGGGAGCCTACAGGGAGGAGCCATCGGGGGACAGTGTGTGGACCCTTGTACGGGTGGGTGTCAGACTGAGATCAGCGAAGACTCACCTGTCCCAGGTGCTGCAGGAGAAGCTGAGGGACGGGAACTTGGACCCCTCCGAGCTGGCGATTGCGGCTGCGGCGCAGGTGTGTCCCTGGGGTCTGCCTTGTCTGACCTCTGCCTCGCTGGTTTCCTCTGCGACCCAGGCTGCTGGGCCTGCGGCCTCATAGGTGTCTGCCACCCCCTCCCTCTGGTTGCAGAGAAAGGACTTCCCTCACGGGATCCCCGAGTGTGGGACAGATGCCTTGCGGTTCGCCCTGTGCTCCCACGGGGCCCTGGGTAAGCCAGGCGGGTGTCGGGGCAGGAAGGGGGCCGGGGGGGCTGAGGAGGCCGCGTCACCGCTGTCCGCCCGCACTTCTCTTCCTGCCAGCGGGTGACTTACACCTGTCCGTCTCTGAGGTCCTGAGCTCCCGGCATTTCTGCAACAAGATCTGGAACGCCGTGCGCTTCGTCCTCGGTGTTCTCGGGGAGAAGTTCGTCCCCCAGCCTGCAGAGGAGGTGAGAGCGAAGAGGTCCTGGAGTGGGCTTGTCTGCCGTCTGAGGCAGAAGGTGCACCTGGGAGGAGGTGGGCAGTGGGAGTCGAGCCGTCCCCACGTCCTGCAGCCCCTTCTGCCTGCAGCTGGCCCTCTCGTCCCCCATGGACGCCTGGATCCTGAGCCGCTTGGCCCGCGCTGCCCGAGAGTGCGAGCGGGGCTTCCTCACACGGGAGCTGCCCCTTGCCACCCACGCCCTGCGCCGCTTTTGGCTCCACAGCCTCTGTGACGTCTACCTGGTGAGTGGGGCTGGCGCGGGCGCGCGTAGCTCCTGTCCCCTGGGGATCAGGCCCCTGGCAGAGCACTCTCAGTGGGGACAGGAAGACGACGAGCCAGGGAATCCTGGTTCTCTTTCCTGGGACTGGCCTGCTCACCCCCTGCCTGTCAGCTGGGGACAGAGGAGGAGGCGGGGAGACTTCTAGAAGACAGTCTGACAGAGCAGGTCAGGCCCAGGCAGGCCGGGAGCTGTGGGTGGACGGGAGGGAGTGTCGTGGTCTTCACCTGCGAGACCAGAGGGAGGGACAACTGGGTAGCCTGTGCTCCTGCCCCCAGAATGCTGGCCCCCAGAGGGGTGGTGAGTGTCGGTGCTGCTGCCCAGGTGACGCTGCAGCTCAGGGCTGCCTGGGACCCTGTTCTGTCCCTTAACAAATCCCGTCTCGCCCTGGCCGGTTTGGCTCAGCAGCTGGAGCATCAGCCTGTGGACCAAAGTGTTGAGGGTTCACTTCCTGGTCCAGGGCATGTACCCAGGCTGCGGGCTCGACCCCCAGCCCCAGTCAGGGTTGTGCAGGAGGCAACCAGTTGATGTGTCTCACTCACATCGATGTTTCCCTTCCTTCCTCTATCTAGAATCCTCTGTATCTAAAAGTCTATGGACAAGTATCCTCTCTCTCTTTGCTAAGCAGAAAACTCTATAGTATTCTTTCTAAACGGCACAGCCTCCTGACAGTTTGGCTCCCCGCCCCCGAGAACCCCTGCCTGAGACTTGCCTTCCTATGGGCCGTGGTGGTGCCGCCGCGTGCTGCGTGCTCTTACCCGCCCGACGGCCGGCTGGTGGGTGGCCAGGGTGCGGGGGCCCACACCTTGGCCCAGCCCTTCCCCTGACCTGCGGCTCTTCCCCAGGAGGTGGTGAAGCCGGGGCTGTCACACTGCCCCCGTCCCCCGGGGCCCCCCCAGGTGCTGTTCTGCTGTGCTGACGCCGGGCTCCGCCTCCTCGCCCCGCTCATGCCCTTCCTGGCCGAGGAGCTCTGGCAGAGGCTGCCCCCCAGGCCGGGCGGGCCCCTCGCCCCCAGCGTCTCTGTTGCCCCCTACCCCAGTGCTGGAAGCTTGGTGAGTCCCACACCCCCGTGGGGCTGCTGGGAGGGGCGGAGCTGACTTGTGAAGGGCTGCTGTGTCCCCGGCAGTGGGTTGTGCTTGGCTGCGGACCTGGGGGTGGTTTCCTTGCAGCGCTGTCGTGGGGCAGCCTGAGCAGGGGGTGGGAGCGGGCTGTCGCTGCACGGGACTTGCCAGCTGTGTGGCTGCCTTGCCTTCCCTTCTGTGACCGGCGTGGACGGTGCAGTCAACGGTGTTGTGACGAGGGCGATATTAGTGATAGAGCGTCCCAGAGTCTCCGTGTGGCTTTATGCTTGAATAGGTTGAGAAGGATGAATGCAGCCAACTTATCCAAAAAATCATTTTAAAGCTTAACTAAATCTCTTCTTTAATTATGAGGTTTTGTGAGTTATGTGGTTTTGTGAGTTTTGAATGTTTTAATTTTTTATCTTTGGTTGGTCGCCATCTTCAGTCAGAGCAGCTAAACAGACGTTCTTAGACGACCAGTGCTCGCCGTGTCCCACCCTCACGGGGGTGCAGAGGAGCAGGGTGGGCGGGCAGAGGCTGGAGCCAGGAGAGCTGGTGCAGTCTCCCAGGAGCCTGCTGGTCAGCCTGGGTCCCCGTCTCCAGGAGCACTGGTACCGGCCGGAGCTGGAGCGGCGCTTTTCCCGGGTCCAGGAGGTCGTGCAGGCGCTGAGGGCTCTCCGGGCCACGTACCAGCTCACCAAGGCCCGGCCTCGAGGTGAGACGTGTCCTGGGCTCCCAGTCCCTGCAGGAAGGAGGCCCAGGGGAGAGCCTGGGGCCGGGTCTCAGGCCTTGACCCTGACAGGCTCCCTTTCCTCCTAGTGCTGCTGCAGAGCTCGGAGCCCAGAGAGCAGGGCATCTTCGAGGACTTCCTGGAGCCCCTGGGCACCCTGGGCCGCTGCGGGGCCGTGGGCCTCTTACCTGCAGGGGCCCCTGCTCCCTCTGGCTGGGCACAGGCCCCGCTCAGCGACACCCTTCGGGTCTACATGGAGCTGCAGGTGCCAGAGGAGATTGCAGCGGGGTAGGGGGTCAAAAGGATGTTGGGAGGAGGACAAGGGCGAGTTCTAGACAAGTAAGGAGTGGTCTTAGCGCGGGGAGGAGAGCGGTGCTGGGCAGGCCACAGGTGCCTCTGTTCCCCCGCAGGGCCTGGTGGACCCCCACACCCACCTGCCGCTGCTGGCTGCCCGAAGACACAAGTTGCAGAAGCAGCTGGACGGCCTCACAGCCCAGGCCCCGCCAGAGGGAGAGGCAGAGACTCAGAGACAGCAGAGGGTGAGCCCACCTCCTTGCGGGAATGTGGGAGGAGGGGTGGGCCTCCTGCCTGGATCCTTACCTGCTTCTCACCCGTCCAGCTTTCTTCCCTCCAACTGGAATTGTCGCGACTGGACAACGCAGCCTCTCACCTCCAGCAGCTGATGGACGCATCTCCCAGCCCCGAGGACCCTGAGCCCTCGCCTGCTGTGCCTGGCGGGGTGGGGCCTCAGAGACCATGCGGTCACCCCCTCGTTAGGGGACAGAGTGGCTAGGTCACTGGAGATGCTCACATTCCTGCCCCTGCTTCCCCCTGTGCAGCCCACTGGGAGGTGGGGGCAGGAGGACATGCAGATAAACTTGGAAAACCTCAAGTGCGTCTGCCTGTGGTTCTCTCACCCTTCTGTCCCCAGCACTGACTTTCTTGCCTTTCAGTTGTTTCCTGAGACTCTGGCCTCTCTCTCGGGCTTGGGCCACAGTGGGAGTGGGTGCTGGGTGGTGCCTGCCTCGCTGGAGGGAGGAGCAGGAGTTGTCCCCTAGGCCTCGCGCAGTGACCCAGGCTCCCCCTCCCCTTCCCTGCTCCTGGGCCCCATCCCCGGGGTGCTGGGAGGCTGCAGGGAGTGACTCCCCGAGACGGGAGTGCCCACACAGATGCGCACATGCCGACCTCTCCGCCCCCAACGTCTTGCCTCCTCTCGGTGGGAGTCAGGGGCTGGCCCTTCAAGCCCAAGTTTGTTCTGCCCAGCAGCTCTGAGTAGCTGCTGTTTAGGGTGAGCCTCTCTTGGCCAGGGCCTCCCCGGTGCTATTTAATCCTCCCGAGACCTCAGAGGTGGGGATGTTCTCTCCATTTTAGAGATAAATAGGCTCAGAGAATAAAAATTGCTCGTGTTAAGTATCAACTGTGATTCAGCCCAGTACATGAACATAAGATCTTTCTGGTTGCTGTAACCGAGCTTTGTATGTAACGGTGGCTGACATGAGGCAACCCTTTCGTTTGCTGGCTCTGCAGTGGGGGATCTTACATCCGGCCGTTCTGTCACACTCTAACTGCATCAAGGTCTGCTGCAGCTCCAGCCAGAGGGGAGAGGGAAGGAGACGGTGGCACCTTCCTTTTTCTCTTCCCCAAATTCAACAAGTATTTCCTAAGCACCTGCTGTGCACTGTCCTTGCCCTGGACTTGGTGTATCAATGAGAGAAGGTCTGTGCCCTGGTAGCACCTTGTTTCTAGCAGGGAAAGTCAGAAACATCAGGCAAACATGTGAAACAGCATGTCTGAAGGTCACGAGATCTCGGGAAGAAAGGGTAGAACGAAGTACTAGGGCTTGGGTGTGTGGGGGCGCAGGTTGTAGTATTAATAGGGTCAGGGTAGAATTCTGTGCAGAGGTGAGGGTTAAGCAAAGCCTTGCGGGAGGTGCAGGAGTTAGCTGAGTGGATGTCTGGACGCAGAGCAGGGCCAGGGTGGGAGCGGGCTCGAAGTAGCGAGGGGTGGGCTCGGGAATGCACGCGCAGTGAGTGGTGGAGGAGTAGGGAGGTTCAAGGAGTACTATCTAGGGTGGTGCAGTCCAAAAGGGTAGCCATTTGGCTATCTACAGTAATTATAACTAAATAAAGTTTGACATTCAGTTCCTCATTCCAAGTGTTAGAGAGCCACATGTGGCCAGTGGCCACCATAGTGCTCAGCCCAGGGTCTAAGACGTTTCCATCATGCCAGTTCTGTGGGAAAGTCCTGGTCTAGGACCTCGTTGGCCCTCATAAGGCTTTGTTTCCTTTCCTCTGAGGTGGCAGATTCTTCCATTTCAAGGCTGTTACCAGGAAGTTGCATATTTTCTTTCTACTTGCATCCTGTTAGACCTTAGCCACAGCCATACCTAGCTGCAAGGGAGGCTGAGAAATGGAATGAGTCAGTGCTCAGCCAAAATTCATGTGACTATCCAAAAGGAGGAGAATGCTTATTAGGGGACACTTATTCTCTGTCACCCCAGGTATAATGAACCCTCAAGTATTCTTTTCAGTGCACTTCTCTGTCTTTAGTCTGGGAAGATAATTCTTTGAGAAAAGAATCTGGAAATCAGCCCAGAAATCTCAGGCCCTAAGATCTAAGAACCAGGCCCCAAAGCATTTAGTCTGCTCCTCCTGCCTTTTGGGGGTGCAGACTTCTAGTTCCCCAGCTTGTTTGGAGCCTGAACACTTGGCCCATGGGGGCCACTTGCCCACTGGTGCAGGTAGGCTAGGGGAAGTCATGAAATATTGGGCCCTTTGGGGCTTGAGCTACCTCTCCTTTGGGCTAAGTGTCTCAGGACAATTACAAAGGAAACGGGGAATTTGTGAGTTTTGCGTTCACTCTCCCACTTCCTGTGATCCCCTTGTCTTAGGGAGGCTACACACGGGCTTGTGCCTTCACCTCCCTCCAAAGCAGCCAGGCTCTGATGTCAGGTGGTGGTGGGCGGGCTCATGGCAGGCAGGGTGGGGGCTGGAGAAGGGAGCCATCGTGTCAGTGCCCTGCATGGCGTCCCGGCGCGTGCCTGCAGCTGGAGACAGCTGGCGAGTCAAGATCATGAGTGGGGAGCCAGGCGAGCGCTGCCTCAGGAAATCAGGGGGACAGCCCTGGATCCTGACGGTCCTAAGTGTAGGGACCGGGTTTCCACCCAACAATCCCTGCGGCCGCGCCCCTTGTCCTGACAGGCACAGCGGCACGTGCCCCAGGCAGTTTATCCGTGAATCCTCACGCCAACCCAGTGGAGCGGGTCTTCTGACACTTGCGGTGAAGAAATGCAGGCTCCACTCGGGCGAGAAAGGCGCCCAGGGCTTGTGTGGTCATGTGCCGTGTTCAGCCAGGATAACCTCTGCTGGCACCCCCACAGCTGCCCTCCTCTCATCAGCTGAACCCCTCGTCTTCCCCTGAGCTGTCTCCCACCCCCTTCTCCCTGACTGACCTGTGTGGATCCCTGGGGATGTCTGTCCACACCCCTGTCTGGGTGCTGAGCCCCCAGCCTCAAAGCTTAAGAAAGGGAGAGGAAATGAAAATATTGCTGAAGCCGAGGCATTTGTCTGGTGTCCGACTCCTCCACCGCCCATGGATCTTAGGCCTCCCCTCTTGGGGCCTTGACACCCTGATCTGTGAAACGGTGACGCCTGTCGCGCTGCATCTCAGACGCGGCCAGCACCAGCCCGGGGAAGCCTTGTGCCGGAGCAAAGAGGAGCCCAGCACCCGCTTCCCTCGCTCCCAGGTGTGCTGAACATCTCACTCAGTGTGCTCACGCCCACGTGTACCTGTGTGGTGTGCGTGTGTCCCCAGTTCACTCCCCAGATTCCTTCTAGGCCTTTGACCGTGGCGTTGAAGGAGAGCCCGTCCATCCCGGAACCCCTCTGCTTCCCAAGGGAGTCTGGCTTGGGGACCGATTTGTTTTTCCTGCCCCCTCTGCTCAGGAACCCACAAAGTCATGGACTTCAGCATATTTACTGCCACTCCGCAGGCGAGGACCTGCTAGAAGATGGGGCCAGGGTATCCCCCCTGTACCCCAGCTGGAAGGGGATGCACAAGCTTCGATCGCTCTCAGACTTTGCAGGTGATGTGTGGGGATCCTGCCTGGTGGAGGGTGACGTTGGTCCCTGGTGGGAGGCGGAGAAGGAGGCAGAGCTGGGGGAGAGAAGGGGTTCAATGGCCCTCATGCCTGGAGATGACCCAAACCAACTCAGAAACACACTCCAAGTTCACACAGCCCACCCTCCCCTCCCAAAGAACTACCTTCTTGAGCAGCTCCAGGGAACTGGAATCACAGGAGGAATTTGCCAGAAAGGAACCCTTCAGTGTCAGCCGCAAACCCATTCCTGGCCCTAGGGACCCAGAAGTACAGCCTAGGACCCGACCACCCTCCTGCCCTGCCCCCGCCGGTGCCCTCCCCTGACAAGGGCCTTCCGGACCCTCCCAGGCTGCGTTGGCCCCTGAGCTCAGCACCAGGGTGCCCTGCTCCAGCTCCCCTTCTCAGCGTCTTCTTGCCGTTTAGACCCTGCGTCCAGCCCTCCAGCCCTTACCTGTCCCCTGTGAGCTGCCAAGGAGGCTCAGGAGGAGAAAGAGAGGCAGGCTGGTCCCCATTGTGGCCACCTCGCTTCTCAGACAGCAGAGATGTCCGAAGCCCCTGCGTTCCTGCAGCTGGTCCTTAGCACAGGTACTGGGGGAACGGGAGGGAAACTGGGTAACTAGCTTTTCCAGTTTTCCCAGTATGGCTTTGAGGACCCAGAAGAGGGCCATTCACTGGGCTGCTGGGGAAAATAGTGGGTGGTCCCTCCTCACCCTCTGTGGGTGCCAGTCCTTCAGGTGTCTGGGCCTCCCCAGGCCCGGGCCTCTCATTGCTCTTAGGGATTAATGATTAACTAGGATTCATTTCCATCATTCGTGCCACCAAAGGGTGCAGGAATGTGGGCCCAGAGGGAGGGGTGGATTAGAATGTTTTCCCCAGACCCTGGTGTCCCGCCACGGTGACTTCCTAGGGTAGAAATCCAGGTAATGGGGCACTTCCACCTTTGAGTGTTTCACTTGCTCTAAAACACCCCAGATACTCAGGTGGAGACAAGGGTTTCATCAAATCCCCCTCCCTGCACCTTTTTTTTTTCTTTATTGATTTTAGAGAGAGAAGGAGGGAGAGGGAGAGAGAGATAGAGACATCCATGAGAGAGAACATCGACTGGCCGCCTCCTGCAGGCCCCCCACTGGGGATCAGGCCCACAGCCTGGGCATGTGCCCTGACTGGGAGTTGAACCGGCGACCTCTTGGCACAGGGTGGATGCTCAGCTACTGAGCCACGCTGGCCGGGCCCGCCCACCTTCTGTGTTCAGGCAAGGGGCCCGCCCCTCCCAGGCCCCTGCGGATGGCAGCAGGAGGACAGGTGTGCAGAGGGTCTGGAGCCTGTCCAGTTCACCACCTCTCTTCAGAAGCCAGGAAGTAAGCCCAGGGAGGGCCACACAGTGAGTCAGAGCAGAGAGATTAGAACTCATCCCTCCTCAAGCCTGACACCGACACGCCTGTCCCATCTGCCTCTCTGGGTCCCCCTCCTGGAAACGGGGGGCGGGGGGGGGCGCCCAAGCACAGCCAGACAGAGGTGGAGATGGAGGGCAGCACTGTCCACGCCATCTGCAGGGCTCCCAGACCTGCCCCGGAGGAGACATGAACGGGAAGATCAGCCAACACAGCAGGCAGGAGGCAGGGACAGGGAGAGCCGCTTTGGGGATCCGAGTCTTCTCAGGAGGAGAGGGGAGCCCGTCTCTCCAGTCCAGGCAGTGGTGGCTGACACTGTGTGAGGCACACCAGAGACATCTCCCTTCATGTTCATCATGACCCTTTAAGCCAGGGCTGCTCACCTGGTCTGAGGAGTGAGCACAGCTCCGAGGCGCCCAGGCCGCACGGCTGGGAAGCCGCAGGCTCAGGGCAGCCGCTGGGTTTTGAACTTCCCAGTGCGGGTCCCTGAGCACTATGGGGTCTCCCCTGCTGCTCCACCTCCCCCAAAGGAATGGGAAACTCTGCTCTGCCCTGGGTTGCCTGAGGGTCAGATGCAGCCCCCAGGCCCTGACATCCTTCACCCCCACCCAGCTCTCAACTCCCGCTTCTCCTAGAGACCCATATACCCTCACTCCTAGTCGTCGTACTTGTAGCAGCAAGAGGAACAGGACACCTGGTTTCCCCTTTCAGGAGGGTCTGGGGGTAGGTCCCACTATTTTCTGGGAAGAGCCTGAGGGCCAGGTAGGGGGGTCCTCCGGCCCTTGCTCACTCCCTCCCTCGCCCAGATCCCTTCCTGGGATCAGGCTGGGACAGCTCAGTCCTCAGAACAGCTTGGTGACCTCTCCCTGGGGATGGAGATCCTGGTGTTGAGGGAGGTCCCCACACACCTGGCTCTCCAGATGCATGGAGAGGACCTCGGAGCCTCTACAAAGCCACGGCCAAGGGCCCAGGAAGGGCCTGGGCTGCACTTGGTGAGCGCGGGCTCCCGGGGGCGCTGGGTGAGCGCGGGCTCCTGGGGGCGCTGGGTGAGCGCGGGCTCCCGGGGGCGCTGGGTGAGCGCGGGCTCCCGGGGGCGCTGGGCGCTGGGTGATCGTGGGCTCCTGGGGGCGCTGGGTGAGCGCGGGCTCCCGGGGGTGCTGGGTGAGTGCGGGCTCCCGGGGGTGCTGGGTGAGTGCCGGCTCCCGGGGGTGCTGGGTGAGTGCCGGCTCCCGGGGGCGCTGGGTGAGCACGGGCTCCTGGGGGCGCTGGGTGAGCGCGGGCTCCTGGGGGCGCTGGGCGCTGGGTGATCGTGGGCTCCTGGGGGCGCTAGGTGAGCGCGGGCTCCTGGGGGCGCTGGGTGAGCGCGGGCTCCCGGGGGCGCTGGGCGCTGGGTGATCGTGGGCTCCTGGGGGCGCTGGGTGAGCGCGGGCTCCTGGGGGCGCTGGGCGCTGGGGGAAGGCCCAGGGCATGGCCTGCTACTCTAACCCTATCATATTGTTCTTTTCCTGCCGCTCAGCTGACCCCCTGGTTCGCAACATCTTGAGGAGTCCTCACTGTCTCTGACAGTCTTTCAATCTCTGGGGATGCTCCTGGGGCTCTTACCTCCGTCCCTGGGAGTCTCCCCTCCGTCCCTGGGAGTCTCCCCTCCGTCCCTGGGAGTCTCCCCTCCGTCCCTGGGAGTCTCCCCTCCGTCCCTGGGAGGTCTCCCCTCCGTCCCTGGGAGTCTCCCCTCCGTCCCTGGGAGTCTCCCCTCCATCCCTGGGAGGTCTCCCCTCCATCCCTGGGAGGTCTCCCCACGTCCCTGGGAGGTCTCCCCTCCGTCCCTGGGAGTCTCCCCTCCGTCCCTGGGAGTCTCCCCTCTGTCCCAGGGAGTCTCCTCTCTGTCTCTGGAGGTCTCCCCTCTGTCCCAGGGAGTCTCCCCTCTGTCCCTGGAGGTCTCCCCACTGTCCTAGGGAGTCTCCCCTCTGTCCCTGGAGGTCTCCCCTCTGTCCCAGGGAGTCTCCCCTCTGTCTCTGGAGGTCTCCTCTCTGTCTCTGGGGGTCTCCTCTCTGTCTCTGGAGGTCTCCCCTCTGTCCCAGGGAGTCTCCCCTCTGTCCCTGGAGGTCTCCCCTCTGTCCCAGGGAGTCTCCCCTCTGTCTCTGGAGGTCTCCTCTCTGTCTCTGGGGGTCTCCCCTCTGTCTCTGGGGGTCTCCCCACTGTCCCAGGGAGTCTCCCCTCTGTCTCTGGAGGTCTCCCCTCTGTCTCTGGGGGTCTCCCCACTGTCCCAGGGAGTCTCCCCTCTGTCTCTGGAGATCTCCTCTCTGTCTCTGGGGGTCTCCCCACTGTCCCAGGGAGTCTCCTCTCTGTCTCTGGAGGTCTCCTCTCTGTCTCTGGGGGTCTCCCCACTGTCCCAGGGAGTCTCCCCTCTGTCTCTGGAGGTCTCCTCTCTGTCTCTGGGGGTCTCCCCACTGTCCCAGGGAGTCTCCCCTCTGTCTCTGGAGGTCTCCTCTCTGTCTCTGGGGGTCTCCCCACTGTCCCAGGGAGTCTCCTCTCTGTCAATCCGTCTTGGAAAGACTCATTGGCAGGTCGAAGCTCTGGCGGGGGCAGGGCAGGCGGGCGTCCCCAGCACCTGCTGGTCAGCCTGGGCCTGCGAGGGGGCCTTCACGCCGTTGGTTTCTCAGCCTCTCTCTTGTGCCTTTTGTATCAAGACAGTCTCTTGCCTACTTGAGGTCATGAAAATAGTCTCAAACATGTTCTTCTAGAAGCTTTATTATTTTAGTGTTCAAGTTTACGCCTATGACCCGTCTCAGATTAATTTCTGTGTGTGGGGTGAGGCAGAGGCCAGGCTCAGATCCCCCCACTGGTCACCCGTTGCCCCAGAGCCATTCATTTCCCAGATCCTTGGTCTCCCCACTGTCTATAGTGTGGGGTCTCTGCCGAAGGTCAGGGGACCATGATGTGCCCTCTGTTTCTGGCATCGATCTGCCCTTGCGTCTGTGCGTCTCCAGTGCCACCGGCCGGGACACCGCAGCGGCCGCAGAGCCATGGCTGAGCCCTGACTGTTCCTCTCCGACAGTCCGACAGTCTTGGCTGTTCTCAGACTTTCATTTTCTTTCTTTCTTTTTTTCTTTTTTTGTTATGATAGAGTGGTAGGGAGAGAGAGGAAGAGAGAGCGAGCGAAACATCGAGTGGCTGCCACCCACACGACCCAACCAGGGCCGAGGACAAACTGCAACCGAGGTACATGCCCCTATTGGGAACCAAACCCGGGTCTCTCTAGACCTCAGGCTGACACTCTAACCACTAAGCCGAACCAGCCAGGGCTATTTTCTTCTTTTTTTAATTAATTAATTAATTAATTAATTAATTATTGTTACAGATGTCTCTCCTTTTCCCCCACTGATTCCCCCTCCCCTTTCCCCACCCTGTCCCCGGCCAGGGCTATTTTCACAGAAGCGCTCCATCCATCCATTTCTAGCAAAGGCTTGGGGAGCCCTTAAAGATCCCTGCCATTGAGGTTCTGTTCTCAAAAGGAGGGGAGAGAATGCCACAGAGAAATGTGGTCTTCGGGTACAGAAACACAACAGTCATAGGAGAAAAGGTGGAAGTCATGCAGGGCTGTGGGGGAGGGGCTCGAGGCCCGCCTGCCCCGTCACTGTCTGTCTCTGCTCCACAGGCCTGACACCTCAGGAGAGGGCTGGTCCAGACCGGGCCATCGTGTGGGGCACGGTGGCGTGGTGGCAGCGAGCGCCAGCTTACTGTATGGTATCCAGAAGGTGAGCGAAGCTGTGGTCTGAGTGCAGCAGGCTGGGACCCGGCACCCCAAGACTCAGACAAGAACAGGGAGGCTGACTGCTTGCCACATGTGGGGAGGAGCAGGGAGGAAAAGGACCCAGGCTGGGTGGCTGGGAGGAAACACTGACCAGGCAGCCGTGGGGCTTGGAGACACTGCAGAGAGGCTGGGAACGCTGGAGGCTGACCAGCTCCCGGGGGCACTAAACTCAGCTCTTGGCTGTGGAGAATCAGCTCTGTGGGGCCACAGTTTGGATCCTGGCTCTGACATGGCTGGGTGACCTTGTGCAAATTAGTTAACCTCTCTGTGCTCCAGATTCCTCATTACTGCTGCTCACAAGCAGGACTTA